CAGAACCATGTTTTTGCAGCATGGTGTCGCCACTAAGCCATGAAGACATGATTTCTGTGGTGCATTCTGTGGCCATGGACAAGATTTGTGATTTGAGGGTGATGTTTTGGTGACCCAATTCCAAAATCATAAGGATACCTGAGGATCCGTGCTTCGGAACCATGTTTTTGCATCATGATGTTGCCACAGACCCGTGGCACTGTGATTTCTGTGGTGCAGTCTGTGGCCATGGGCATGATATGGGATTTAATTGTATGTTTGGGGTGTTCCGATACAAAAAACCCAAGCATCCATGAGGATCCGTTCTTCGGAATCATGTTTTTGCAGAATGCTGTCACCACAAAGCCGTGGATCTGTGATTTTTATGGTGCAAGCTGTGGATGTGTTATGTGATTTGATTATGTGTTTGGGGTGACCCAGTTGAAAAACCCTGAGGATCCATGCTCCAGAACCATGTTTTTGCAGTTTTGTGGTGCCATGAATTCGTGGGGGCATGATTTCTGTAGTGCTTCCTATAGTCTAAGACATGGTCTACACTATGATGTTGGTTTTATTTCATTCCAACGTATATGAATTCATGAGGATCCGTCCTTTGGAATCAAGTTTTTGCGCTGTTGTGGTGCCACGAATCTGTGGGAGCGTGATTTTTGTGGTGCCCCCTATAGACTAACACATGGCCTACAATATGATGGTGGTTTTATTTCGTTTCAATGTAAAAATCATACTTTTACCCTTTTCTGGCACAGCTCTGGTAAGTATTTGGATGGAAGACCACCGAGGAAATCCAGGGCTGCTATGCGGAGGCAGGCAAAGGCAAACCATCTCTGAACGTCTCTTGCCCTGAAAACCCTATGGGGCTACCGTAAATCCGCTGTGAGTTGCTGGCAAAAAAACCCCCCAAACAAAACAAAACAAAAAAACGGCGTCGGCACTCTATATAGGCGTAGGAGCGCTCTTTTCTTTATTAATTATGTCATCCTATGTCCCAAGGCTGTAATTTATTACTGGAAAGAAGGAAGAAAGGCCACGTTTGCTGTGAGGTTTAAGCAAAGTGGCTTGTCTGCAACCTGAGCACGTCTCCTTTAAGGGAGGCGGAAGATAGGCTTGGGATGGCTTTTTTTCCTCCCTGCCGGCTCGGCCGAGGCGAATTCACTTCCAGGTCGAGGGTGACAGCTGAGCTAGGGGCCCCCGGCTCTCTCTGATCGGTGGTCGGGGCCCGCCCCTCACTAGGATCAGGAAGAGCAGAGCAGACGAGGGGTTCCAGGCTCAGAAATGGTGAGTGGGAGTTCCTGCAATGACAGAGGAGGAAAGAGGGAGAGCCGCAGGAACATCTCTATGGAGGGAGAAAAGAAAGGGAACCCCGGAGAGGCAATCGCGGGAGCCCCCTTCCTTGATTTCCGAATGATCGATCCGGAGTATGGTTTCCAGGCTCCATTTCTCTTCTCCTGGTCGGTCACTTAAGACGGAGCTTGCATGGGGAATTGCTTACCGATTAGGCGGCAGCCTGAACATACCGAAGAGCAGAAGAATCTTTACCGCACATTAACTCTGCCTTGTAGGGTGTTAAGGGACGTTACCTGGTGGGTTAGATTCGTGTCTAGTACATTTGAGCATATATGTATAATAGATAGAAACCTGGAGATAAATATTGAGTCAAGTGATTGGAATGTGTATCCAGAAGGAGAATAAGTAGTACTGAAATTCCTAGAGGAAAATATTTTAGTGAGCAGCATTTTGTGGGGTAGGGAAATGTACTCAGAACTGCTAATGTGGCTTAAAATCACCACTTACCTTAACCATGTGCTGAAAGTGTAATGAAAAAGATCCTCTTTTTGAATCACCCTGATTGTGTGTACAGTTGGCTGGCTAAAAGATGTAATGTGGTAACCAGTCAAGTTAAGTGAAGTTGGCAATGGTGTTTCAGTGGTTCTTGCAATGTGTTTGTGTGTATACCAAAATACACACACACACCTGTGTGGCCAGAGAAAATAAATTACTGTTCAAAGAAAATGGTGTGTTTATGTGAAAAAGCAAGGCAGGTTGTGGGAAAATTTCATGTTAGAGGAACCATATGGAGGATTGGAGCTGCATGCCAAAGGCTCAAGAAGGACAAGTGACATCTGAAAATTGTTCCGCATATGTTTGGATCCTCTTGTATGAAAAATCTCTCTAACACCAATGTGCAGGCAAATGTGGGGATTTCCCACATGTAGCAAGATCTTCGGGCACATGTTAATTTCAGCTTCTGTCATATAGCTGCAGTAGCATATGGAGCAGGCTTGTAACATAATAAAATATTTCTTTCTGTATGTGTAGCTTTCAGTGTCCTCATGTAGATGCATGTTAAAACTGTCTCTTTTTAAGATATTCCCAGAAACATATCTTTCAATAGCATGCCAATGAAGGAGGAATTTTCACAGGTAGTTTGTCATACCAAGATGGGAAAAGATGCACTTGCTGAAACATCTGTTTCTACAGAACTGCTAAATGAATAGGAACTTTGTTGTGCATTTGGTTACATCATGTATATTTGGGTACATTATGTCTGATGTGATCTTCTAAGCCCGTGGCAACCCATCAGATATATACTGTGAGCTGCTATCTCTGTCCACTCCTCATCAATGTTCCCTTTAAGCTGAGTTAGTGTTAGCTAGCTCACAGTTTTTTAGCCTCTGGCTCACACATTTTTGTCTTAGCTCAGGATGGGTGGCTCCAGAGCAAACTAATTTATGCAGTAGCCAAATCACTCGTGCACAACTTTAATGCCAGTAGCTCACAAAGTAGAATTTTTGCTCACAAGACTCCACAGCTTAGAGGGAGCATTGCTCCCACCTCTGTTTTTGTTGTTACAGGGAAGCAGCAAAATAGGAGATTTAGCTAGTGGGGCTGCATTTGGCTTTGTACCTCAAAAGTTGGAGCAGTGTATCTGTTAAATGTTTCCCTCAGACTATTGATTTAAAGAATGTATTTGTTAGAGTTGACAGCATGTCATGTGGTATGTACTAATTTACAAGAAAGAGCAATGAAAGAAAAGCTGTTTTTGATACTATCGGAAGACAGTGTGCATGAGAATACTCAATGTGTGCTTGTTGTTCCCAGAAACATTTTACTCTCCCTTTCATGTAAATCGACATGGTTAAACAGTAGTAAAACAATATATTTCCGGTTCAATCCACATTAGTTATTGTAGAACAGTACTTTTTAAATAAACACTTGGGAATATGCAACCTAAGCATGAAAGATCAGAGGTGGTTCTAGAATATTTATTTGTTTTATTTAGTGAATTTTTATTCTGCTCTTACTATAAGAAGTTCAGGGCAGTGTATATGATTCTCCATCCTCTGCTTTATCCTCACAATAGCCCTGTAAGTAGATTAGGCTGAGACATAATGTCTGATCAAGGGTTACCCTGTTTTATGGCAAGCAAGGTCTTGAACCCTGGTCTCCCCGGTCCTTGTCCATCATACTGACCACTACACCAGAATGGAATAAACTACTTAATCCAGAAGAAAAACCCATGATCAGGTTTTATGAAGGATTTGCAGATCACATCATATACTGTGCTCTACAATTTTAGGTTTACTCTGAAGTACCATTGGCTTTAGTAGGATTTTGTTTCTAGTAATAGTTCTTAGTAACATTTTAAGAATTTGGTGGAGCAGTTAGAAGCTTGGATTATTTCTATCCTGCCAGTGCACTTTTATGAGTAAAGTGATAGTTATGTGTTTGTTGCAATACTTGTGGAATCCATATTCTGGATATTTATTCTGGATAACATAATGTACAAGGGCCTGATGTTGTGGATGTTAAATGCATGCTTATGGGAAAGGGGAAATATGTAATTCTAGTAAAAGGCTGGTTTCTTGCCAGCTAGTAGATTTGACAGTATTAATACTAGTTGTTAATACATGGTAGTTAATACCATGTTGGAAGGGCGGGATACAAATTTAATAAATAAATAAATCGATTATTTATACTCCACCTTTCTCCCTAATGGGGACCTAAAGTGGCTAGCATCACTTGTCTCTCCTTCATTTTATCCTCACAACAACCTTGTGAAGTAGGTTAGGCTGAGAGTGACAGGCCTATGGTAACCCAAAGTGTGGATTTGAACCTGGGTATTCCAGATCCTAATCCAACACGGTAACCACACCACACTGGCCCTTTTGTACTAGAATTCTGTATTACTTGTAATTAATTAAAAAAATAATTAGCTGTTAATTTATATGTATGTGTACATGTATAAATACCTACATATGTTTTTAATGGTGGGTGTTCTTATCCTGTGGTTTTAAATTGTGAACTGCCTTGAGCAGGATTCTAAAGCAGCAGCATAGAAGTATTCTAAATAAATACATACATGCATACATACATAGAAGTTACTAGCTAGATAATTCAAGAATAATTTCATTGCTTTCTTAATGTCCATGAGTGTTTATAAATATATATAATTTAAAAATTCTATTCTGTTCTGAGAACTAAATTACATGTTCAACCATATGTAATATATTACTGTAGGGGTAGAGTGGGGAACTATCCAGTTCTATAGAGATTGCCATCTCTATAAAAACACAAGTTTTTTAAAAAATGACCTTTTAAAGCAAATTTAGTTGATGTTAAAGAGGTGTTCTGGGATTAATATGTTAAACAGAACTTTTTCTCCCTCTCCCAGAGTACTAGAACTGAAGAGCATCGGATTTGATGGGTAGTAGATTCAGGATGGACAAAACAGGATACTTCTTTACATAACAAGTGGGTAGGTTGCTGCTATGTAAGACAGGATGCTGGACTAGCTGGACCACTGGTCTGATCCAGCAGGGCTCTTTTTATGTTCTTCTGCAATTGAATTCCCATTGTAATAATACACAAGGTTTTGTGAACATATTTTTAAACTAGCATGTACATATGCATAGGCATTTACATTAAAACTTTACGCTGCCCCAGTTTTAAATCCTGTGTGCTGTGAGAGGTGACATCACCATAAGTTAAAGCAACAGCGATTATTAATAACCATCTAAAAACTCATGTTGTTTCTAAACACAGGAAGCTTTCAACTTGAAAATACATTTTGCTACCATTTTAAATTCCTTTTCAAGTTTGTACATAGGGTATGTTAGTGTCCAGGGCATTTCTTTGTACTGTAAGGAGTTGTAAAATGAAATAAAATGTATTAAAATGTGACTTCAGTCAGTGGCACTTTAAAGACTAAAATTTATTCCCAGTATGAGCATTCATGAGTTAGAGCTCACCTCATCAGATGCTACTGCACCTCCTGGTTTAGTCTGCTGCCGAAGACCTAACTCATCTGTATTAAAATATGTTATGAATAATTCAATTGCTGCTGCTTAGGTCTAATTGTTTGTATTAGGTGTATATTAAAATGAGAATGATGTATTGACTGTTGTAGATTTACAGCTTGTGAGATTTTATTATTAAGTTATTCCTTGTGTAGCATTATTTATTAGAATTATAATTAATCACCAGGCGTATTCTGTTTTGTTGCATCTAAAGTTAGCTAGTATCTAGTGTTAGATTTTTACAGGGAAATGAGCTGAGGATATATATCTTTTTAGCCAGGCAATCTTGACTGACATGCCTTGGTTAGCTTTCTGAAGCAGCAAGCTGCCATTAGTACCAGTGTTTCATGAGCAAGGCATTCTTGCAACCAACACTGAGTGATCTTGAAATAGTAGTCTGAAGTTTTCCCTTTCACCCTGATGATAGCTCTTGCTCCACCTTGCTGACTCAGCCACAGCTATTTTCTTAGGGAGGGAGAAATTCATAGAAATGGTAGTGTTAGCGCTGGCAGCTGTTGTATGTGGCACAAGGGTGCAATCACTAGACCACAGGCAGCTTCATTGCGGTCTGTGGGTTGCCTAGTGATTCTAGCGAGAACAGGGATGACTCAAAGTAAGCCCCTGCCGTGTGGTTCTGAAATATTATTGTGTTTTAGTAATAAGAGATGCTTCTTCCCCTATTTCATAATCTCTACAGATATTTTTTTTGTAAAACAAAACAAAAGCGGGTAGCCAGCATTGTTTTTCGGGGGGGGGGGGGATGAAGCCTTTAAGAGCCACATGCATATTGAATGCTATTCTCTTTTATGAGCTACTGAGAAATTAATGGTTACTACAGAGGCTGTATTTTAAACAGAATTTGCAAGGATTGCCTCCATTCTATCTTACCACTCATCTGAGTTTGACAACAAGCTTATGTCAGGCAGACGAAATAAAGTACAATGCAGTCCCATACATAGTTAACCCAGACTAAGACAATTAAATTCTGTAGGCTTAGACTGGAGTAACTATGTATGGGACTGCACTGTTGGATTCTTCAAAATAAAAGTGAAATGCTAGTAAGTCATTTGGTGCAAAGGTAAATCCAGGTGGTCAGCTGTATTGGTCTGAAGCAGTAGAACAAATTTAGAGTCCAGTGGCACCTTTAAGACCAACAAAGTTTTATTCAGGGTATGAGCTTTCATGTACAAGGCACATTTTTACAAATACATTGGAATGGTAGGTAAGGTTCAAACTTCTAGACAGGGTCTGAACATGTAACATGATGAAGATGTGCAAAGACAAACTAAATAACAAGCTAAGGTGCAAAGGTAAGATGTTGTTCCTCTTACTTTAGAAAGCCAACAGTTGGCACTCCTGTTTTTAAAATTGGCTGGGGGTGTAAATGGTGAGCCTGATTTTTGTTGGTACTGAAAATGATTCACAGTGGTGATGATGCTGTTCTCTCCTAGGGTTCAAAGCTGGGGAGCTGAAAATAGCAAGCATATATGGGGTGTGTGAAAAGGGGAAAGAAAATAGGCAGAAATGCTGCTGATGAAGGGTATTTTATTGTGCAAGTAAAAACTTGCACTGATATTGCATTCTCACTGAAAGAGTAGCAGGTTCCCCTGAGGAAGCTTTGTGTGAAACAGGGAAGGAACTTTTTACTTCTACAATAAAATAACCTTCATGTGTACCATCAGCTCTTTTGCCTATTTTTTTCTCTGTGATTGATATGACCTGTTTTCTCCTTGGATCTGAATAGGGGGGAAAGCAAAAAAAATGTATAATCTTTTGTACAAACAAAGCTGAAGTCTGAAGTTTTAGTTTGATTACCGTAGTTATTAATATTAAATTGCATGCACATGGACACTTTGTGTGGAACAATGGTAACTAGAAACAGAAGCAAGATGTGAAGGAATGATTGCCATTGCATCTCAAGGAGAAAGTGGATCAATTTTTCCATGGTACATATTCTTCACGTGTGTTCCAACATGTTACTTTCTTAACTTTATCCAAAGCCTTCAGAATTCTGTGGAAATAACACTTGACAGTCTGGCCAGAAACACAAGCTTTCCGTGATGTACGAGAACAAGATAAAGGCCCACAAAGAATCATGGAAGGAGGCAGCAATTGGGAAGTCCCACCCCACCTCCCAAAATCTGCCCCTCAGAAATGATCAAGTACTTAAGGGCTTTAACAGGTGGTTTTCCCTTCCTGCTTTTCTTTGTTTAATTGACTTGGTTGCTCTCAATATTCCCTGCATCCTAAAGTATATTCAGGCTTTATGAAGCCATGTCTGGGTTTTTCTCCTTATGGTTAATATATTACATCACCTTTTTGCACACATGGAGAATCCCCAGAGTGTGGTGAAATATGGGTAACTCAGGTAGACTGTTTTTGTGATCATCAGATTCCAGTCACTTTGCTATTAGAAGAACTGCTAAATATCCAGTCCCTGACATGTGAGGTCATTCCAGCCAACAATCTATGACTTCAACGGTACGGGTAAATGGGCATTCCTTATATAGTTATGTTCACTGACATTGTGTACATTCTGAGTCCAGTTTCTCTCCCACCTCCAGATACAGACTCTTCCCCAAAGAGTCCTTTTGGCAGATCTCTCCCAACCCCTTGTCAGTGATTTTCAGCTAATAACTTCATTTGTAGCATGCTATGATTTTTTTGAAACTATCAAACATCTAGTACTTGTTTTTTCTTTGTGACAGGAGGAAGCTTCACCTTATTCTCTACTTGACATTTGCTTGAATTATCTGACTGCTGACTTAGAGAAGTTTTGTACAGAAAGGCAGGATGGGACATTGTGCTTACAAGAGCCTGGAATATTTCCCCAAGAGGTGGCTGACCGATTGCTGCGGACAATGGCATTTAACGGTATAATGATTTTTCTGGGGACTATTTGTTACAGGGATTCTAATTAAAGTAAGAAAAGAGAAGTGAGGGACCTACAAGTGGTTGCAGGGGGCATTTAATTTCCCCTCCCTCACTATTTCTTTTCCCTTTCATACCCACCCACCTAACTTTTTACCTGCACCCCCCACCACCTTAAGTTGTAGTTAGTATTTAATTTATACCCCACTTTTCTCCACAGTGGAGACCAAAAGCAGCCTACATCATTCTCTTCTCGTCCATTTTATCCTCACAACAATGCTGTGAGGTTGGTAAGGCTAAAAATGTTTGGCGGACTCAAAGTCACCTACTGAACTTCCATGGCAGAGTAGCGATTCAGACTTGGGTCTCCCAAATCCTGGTTTGAAGTTTGAAAACTTTAACTATTATACCACATTGGCTTGGGGGGGGACTACTGTGGAACAGTAACAAGCAGCCAGTCCTGGGTGAGTCTTACAAGTCACATGGTAGCAAATTGCCTGGTGGTTGTTGTCTGATGACGCCAAAAGAGCCCTGGAAATGGCCCTGTGCCTCTTCTTGTCATTTACTGACAGATACCTATGCCCAAATGCTGGCAATACTGTATATTTGCTTAGCAATGGCTGCTGAGGGCATTTGTTTCTTAAAACTACAGACACTGCTTCTATTATCTGCAATCTTAGGATGCATTAACAGAAGCATTGCCTCCAGATCATGGGAGATGGTAGTTCCGCTCTATGGTCAGGCCTCACCTGGAGTACTGTGTCCAGTTTTGGGCACCACATTTTAGGAAGGATGTTGACAAGCTTGAGTGTGTCCAGAAAAGGGCAACCAGGATGGTGAGAGGGTTGGAATCCAAGTCTTATGAGGAAAGGCTGAAAGAGTTGGGTATGTTTAGCCTGGGAAAGAGAAGGCTTAGAGGGGACATGATTGCAGTCTTCAAGTATTTGAAGGGCTGTCATGTAGAAGATGGAGCAGATCTATTCTCTCTTGCTCCGGATTGCAAGACTAGATCTAATGGGTGGAAATTACAAGGGAGTCATTACCGGCTGAATATCAGGAGAAACTTCCTAACTGTAAGAGTGGTTGAGCAGTGGAACAGACTGCCTTGGGAGGTGGTGGATGCTCCTTCGCTGGACATTTTCAAGCGGAAGCTGGATGACCATCTTTCGGGTATGTTGTAGGGCTATCTTTCAGCTGTGCTCCTGCAGAGTGCAGGGGGTTGGACTAGATGACCTGTAAGGTCCCTTCCAACTCTAACATTCTATGATTCTATGATTATTAAGAGGAGTGATGCTCCCCAATTTCTTTTTTTAAGGTTTCAGAATAGTCTGCGCACCTGGGGCTTTTCTCAGGTTTGTCAAAAGACCTGTCTTGTCTGCTCATGTGTCCAGTCTCTGGATACATCTATGAATGGGGCCATGTAGAACATTAGATATATTGATATCCATTTGAATTGTTTCTTGGAATTGGATTTTATTACTCTGACTTGCAATGTTATTCTGTGCCATTGGGGCTCAGTGGCTTTTTTAATGAAACAAATGGGAAAAAACCAGAGTTGTTCTTCAACAGCTTTTTAAAAAAAGTTCCTGGTTATGGGAAGTACAGCGTGCTCGTACAGAGGGAGTTATGGTAGCACAGATATGGGGGGATAGATGTCAGTGCTGGAATGAAGGCCATCACTGGCACCCAGCTGGATCCTATATGCCTCAGCAGAAAGTACAAAAACTAAGGGTCACAGTGTTAGCAAGATATGGAAAAATATATGACACTGTGTATAATACATGTATGGTTAAGGTAGATCTATTTTGTGCTTTTTATTTGTATTTTTTTAGTTTTTCTATACTATTATATAAATATTGGTGTCAAGTATTACCAAACAAAGGTTCAACAAAACAATACATCAAAGTGCAGGTTTACACTGTGCTCAAACATTCAAACAGCACCGTGTCATTTTCACAATCACTAGTCCCACGGGACTCTAGTAATTTACCCGTATCAAATATAATACTTAAGTTATTATGTTTGCCGCAAGGATTCCGATGGGGACCTAGAAAAATGCTGCTATTTTAAGAGTTTTATACTCACAAAGAGAAGTTACTGCGCCTTAGGTCTTGTATGTATATCACTGTCCTTGAAAAAGATTATATTTGATACGGGTAAATTACTAGAGTCCCGTGCGACTAGTGATTGTGAAAATGACAAGGTGCTGTTTGAATGTTTGGACATAGTGTAGAACTGCACTTTGATGTATTGTTTTGTTGAACCTTTGTTTGGTAATACTTGACACCAGTATTTATATAATAGTATAGAAAAACTAAAAAATTAAAAATAAGCACAAAATAGATCTACCTTAACCATACATCTATTATACACAGTGTCATATATTTTTCCATATCTTCATAGCAGACGCCAGGACATTGTTGCCGTTGCCCCAGTACCCTGAAGCCTAGAAAAACGAAGACCTCAGAATTAACAATGCACGTTACTCTTTCCTTCTGCTCTGGGAAACCTTTTCTTTCTTCTGCTCAGAAGGCCTAGTCCAAAAACGGAGAGAGGAATTCCTCAGCTGTGGTATCTTCTCCATGTCCTTGCTTCCAATTTTAAAACAATAACCATGATGCTTTTTCCACAGGACTGTTGAATGAGGCAACTGTGGGCATTTTTCGAGGCAACCAGATGCGCTTGAAAAGAGCTTGTATCCGCAAAGCAAAAATATCTGCTGTGGCTTTCCGGAAGGCATTCTGCCACCATAAGCTGGTGGAACTTGATGCTACGGGGGTGAATGCAGACATTACCATCACAGACATCATTAGTGGACTTGGCAGCAATAAATGGATCCAGCAAAACCTCCAATGCCTTGTGCTGAACTCATTAACTCTTTCATTGGAAGATCCCTATGAAAGGTGCTTCAGTCAGTTGACTGGTCTTCGTGCTTTGAGCATTACCAATGTTCTCTTTTACAATGAAGATCTAGCCGATGTGGCTTCGCTTCCGAGATTAGAAAGCCTGGATATATCCAACACCTCAGTCACTGATATAACTGCACTACTCGCCTGCAAGGATCGCCTCAAGTCTCTTACCATGCACCACCTGAAATGCTTGAAAATGACAACCACTCAGATTTTGGATGTCATACGAGAGTTGAAATATCTGAATCATCTTGACATTTCAGATGATAAGCAGTTCACATCTGATATTGCACTACGCTTGTTAGAACAGAAAGACATCTTACCCAATCTTGTATCATTAGACATTTCAGGCAGGAAGCATGTTACTGATGAAGCTGTAGAAGCATTTATTCAACAGCGACCGTCCATGCAGTTTGTGGGGCTTTTGGCAACTGATGCTGGCTACTCATTATTTCTTACTGGAGAGGGAAACTTAAAGGTTGGTATCTTTTGTGATTTGTGTGTGTGTGTGACACATACCTGAAATGCTAATTTGAACAGTCCCTGTTCAAAACTTTAAAATTTTGGTTGGTGACAAGTGGATCACTTCTGATGATGGAAAGGGCTTGTTGGGGTGCCATCTTGACTCGCCTACCCACACTGCAAACAGAATTTGAAAATGGCACCCAGGTGCATTCCTCAAATGTGCTCTAGGGAATGTACCATGAGGTAGCAAGCTGTTATTTTAGGCCTTCTGATTCGGCATGATGGTTCATTCAGCACATGCGCAGTCTAATGCTGGAATGCTGGCTTGCATTTTTTTTTTAAGGTATCACTGCCTACCCTGCCCAAGATGACAAGGTAGGCAGAGTGCAGTAAAACAGCACAGGCATTTCAGACTGGTGAAGAGCACCTTTTAACAGGAAAAATATGAGGAAAACCTGGGTGTGGCGTTCATGTGCCCCCTTAGATAACTGTTTGTGGGAGGCTGGCCCTGGCTAGAGAGAAAGATCGCCGGTCTCTATTTATACAGTGCTTCTCCTCGTTCCCTCTGATGTATAAAATAAGCTGTATTGTTCTTAAGCCTGAGAAACACATCACAGAGAGTAAGCGAATGTTTTTACTGGCTGGGAATAGACTCTATTGCTTTGTCACTCTCACCACCTCTTGCCAAGGAGTATAGCAGTGAAAAGTGGGTGGCTTGAGTTTGTACTTGAAGGAGAGAACAATAATTTTCTGCCCCACAACAAGGGATACACCTGTGAAAAGGAAATTCCATACCTAAAGGTATGTTCTGCTCTGCAGTTCTCTGGCACTCCACCTGGCTTATCTGCATTCTTAAACTATTGTTCTTGTTCCTCCATATGGATAGATGCTAAAATTGTGTCAGTTTTATAACTAAATACTTCTCACTCGGGTCACTAAGCTTATGTAGAGACACGTGGTAAGAATGCTTACATAACAGAAATATAAGAAAAACTGGGGATAGACAACCTAAGAAGGTATAAACATTCAAGTACTATAATGTATATGCAAATGTAATCAACTTTATACTAAAGCTTAATACTCAGAATGTACAAAATTACAATATTAGGGCATAATAGCCAGAGGTATACAAAATTACAATACAAAAGCTCATTAATCAGAACTTAACAATGTAGCAGCAATATAGAAACAGTTCAGCAATATAGAAACAATTTACAAAGCAATTTACAAAGCAGTTAACAAAGCAGCTGGCTTTCACTTCGTTTCATGGTGAAACTTCATCAGAAGCAAATCAACTGCAAGACAAAATTTATTTCACAAATATATATAGCTAATAATTCCTGTTTGTACATAACAGAAATTGCATTCTAGCTTCTTTGAAGAGCAAAGGCTTCTTTATTGGCGGGACATTAACTATCAGGATAGGCAAACTATCGTGATCATGATTGATATAAATGGCTCATAAAGTCAGTACTAAACCAATACAATTATGTTGGTTTTTTTTAATTTTTATACATCTGTAATTTTTTAAAAACTGCACTTGCACTTCTTTCCAAGTGATGAATGTATTCTGCTGAATTGTGTACTTCAGTTGTAATATTAATGTTATGTTGAATCTTTTGGAGTAATCTAGTATCCTCTCTTAAAATATGATATTATGTCAAGGATGTTTCCTGTTACAGTTGTCAGACTGGGTTGTTGTATGCAATACTGAATGGCAGATCTAATTTGTATGAAGATAAGAATGATGGTCAAGGTAACTTTGGAGGAAGTTAAACACGCAAAGCCTTTGGGTTACATAAATTTCCAGTTATGTCTCTCTTGTTTCAGCAATATTACCAGAAAATGATCTTCTTCTGCCTTTGTGAACACTTGTGTTTTTTGTTTGGTTGTTGTTGTTTTTTATAAATTTTTTTATTGATTTTCTTACTACACACTGTTGAAGGTATCAGGAGAAGCAAATGAAACTCAGATTTCCGAAGCTCTGAAGCGTTACAGTGAGCGAGCATTCTTTGTGAGGGAGGCACTCTTTCATCTCTTCAGCCTTACCCATGTTATGGAAAAAACCAAGCCCGAAATTCTAAAGGTAAAACAATTAAGCAATGATAAACCAGCTTTGCAAGCGTCACTGTGTGAATGTAATCTGAGGCCCTATTCATACGAGCCCATTTGGGCCGGGAGCGGGACGGAACGGGGGTGGAGCAAACCGGCGCGATCCCACCTCAACATCTGGGGAGCGTGCCGGATCCGTCCCGGATCCGTCCCTTTCAGCATTGCTCCGCGCCAAAAAAGAACCACCTCCCGAGGTGGTTCTTTCTGAAGGGCCGCAGCAACGCTGGCCGTGGGATCGCCGGCGCGTCCTTGCGCCGGCGCATCCCCGGCTCCTGGCCGAACTGCGCATGTGTGAACATGCACAGTTCGCCAGGCTCCCCTTCCCACCGTTGCGTTCTCCCCGGCATCTGATCGTGCTGGGGAGTGTTGCGACGCGGCTCGGGGGATCTGTGAGATCCCACCGCGCCGTCCCAACTTTGCTGCGGCTCACATTAGCTTCAGTACAAGCGTCTTATTCCCTGCCGTGTGGCAGGGACCTGTGACTATTAAACCTGAGATAAAATGGAATGAAATGTGCATACATGATCAGAATAACCTCACATTTGTGTTTGGAAGGGGCAGGGTAGGGAGGAGAAAGAAAGGAAGATAAAAAAATTTAGGTAATCAGTTCAGAAGAAATGCTCATATTCCATCCATAAGATTATGCTAACTTTCAAAGTCAGAGGTTTGTTGAAATGTTCCCTTATTTTTAACAATTAAAAATGAAATTAAGGATGGCAAAATGATTATCTCTCTGGTGATAGAAAGTTATTTGGAAGAGAAGGCTATTATAATCTTAATCTGAATGGCAGAGAATGAACAGGATGCAAACGCTTGCCACAGCAAGAAATAACACTCCATCTGCCTTCATTTTGAAGGATCTGCTGCCTTTGGGTAGCTTGGAGATTTGAGGTAGTGCAATCTCAAATGTCTATCAATTGGATGATGCAGTAATAGCCGACTTGTTTATCCTGATTGGTGAAGTGGGTCTAACTGTGGGCTGAACTGTATGTGAGAACAGCAAACTCTTGTGTCTCTGAATGCTTTCTATGAAAGAACTTCAGTGAAGTGGTAGGAAGGGCAGAGAGTCTGTACTCCTTGCCCTCTATTTCTTCATACCCCAACTAATACTGAATGAATGTGGCCTTGGAAAAGAAGAAAAGGGCAGACAATCCGAATGACATGGCCTCTAATCAGGGGAGGAAAAGGCTGATCTGTTCATCTGTTCCCTGGATATTGTGTGTGTAAAGAGGTCTACTTATAGCTGGTTCACAGGTTCGTGGAGAGGATAAGCTGACCAGGACTGCTTTGACCAAAAGTTCCCTTTGTGCCCCCACCTTCAGAAAATGCCTGATTAGAACAGGTATATTCCTATGCTGTGCTTCATCAGCACCATGTCCAGTTCCCAGAACAACTTGGGCCCTTGGAATTTTGTACACTTAGCTTCCCTCCTTCCTTTTGTTGTTGTTCAGTCTCATAGTTGAGTCCGACGCTTCGCGACCCCATGGACCAGATCACGCCAGGTCCTCCTGTCTTCCGCTGTCCTCTGAAGCTTACTCATTTTCATGTTTGTTGCATTGATGACACTGTCTAACCATCTCATCCTTTGCTGTCCCCTTCTTCTTTGACCTTCAATCTTTCCCAGCATCAGAGTCTTCTCCAGTGAGTGCTCCCTTCTCATTTGGTGGCCAAAGTATTTGCGCTTCCAGGGAACAGTCAGGGTTGATTTCTTTTAGGATTGACTGATTTGATCTCCTTGCAGTCCAAGGGACTCTCAAGAGTCTTCTCCAGCTTGACTTTGCTAAGGTTCCTATAGCTGAGTTTGAATATGTGATTTTTTTAAAAATTGTGAGATCAGATTCTGATTTGGTCTTTGCTTTTTATTTTGTTTTTTCCCCAGCTGGTAGTTACTGGGATGAGAAATCACCCCCTCAATTTGCCAGTGCAGTTAGCAGCGAGTGCCTGTGTATTTAACTTGACCAAACAGGAGCTAGCTCTTGGCATGCCTGTTAGGCTCCTGGCAGATGTCACTCACTTGCTCCTTAAAGCCATGGAACATTTTCCCAACCACCAACAGGTAAGCCCTTTTTCTTGTTCAAGGCAGAGTGTTGAAACATTTCAGATGTTTCTAAAATGAAAAAAATATCTTTCCCATGAAGTGGTTCAGAAGTGAGGGTTACTGACTTGTAATCTGCTATTAAAACTAACTGCAAAAAACAGGATAACAAAGTTTGAGTCCAGTGGCACCTTTAAGACCAACAAAGTTTTATTCAAAGTGTAAACTTTTGTAGCTTTGTTGGTCTTAAAGGTGCCACTGGATTCAAACTGTTCTGCTGCTATTGACCAACACAGCTACCCACCTGAATTCTTCTGCAAAGAACAGGAGTGAGCAACGTGTTTGGGAACAGCTACCTCAAAAAGGTCTTTTGAGACCAGTGATTTCAGCTTTTTTAAAGAGTTATGTATTTAGACTTAATCGGTTTTTGTGAACAAGGTCCATCTCCACCTACAGTGGGTCTGTTACACTGCTGTGAAACTGGATCAATCATAAAACATTGGTAAATTCATCAGAGGATGCAGTCATTCTGGCAACATTTGTTTTACACAACACCATTTCTATCTACATCTCTTCTGTCAAGGTAGTAGTTAATTTGTTGACAATGTCTGGCAGTCTCAAGGGATAATGTATTGTAATGTCTGTAGTATCCTTCCATGCTGCAAATCATAAAAGGAAGTATTGTGGATCTTCATACATAGGGATACAAGGATGCTCCCGGGTAAGACGTAGATGAGATTATTGGTCCATGTAGGCCAGTATTGCCTACTCAGACTGGCCATGGCTGTTCAAGGTCTTAGGGCTTTCCCAGCCATGGAATCCTTTTTAATTTTGACATGCTCTGAATGGAACCTAAGACCTTCTGAATGCAAAGTAGATGCTCCATAAGTCTGCTTTGACCTCTCCCTAAACTGTAGCTTGTTAGATTTCTGCTGCAAAAAGGCAATGTGCAAGCAGTGTTTGTGCAGAACTCCATTTTGCTCTTTTACAGCTGCAAAAGAACTGCCTTCTGTCATTGTGCAGTGACAGGATACTTCAGGATGTTCCATTTAACAGGTGAGTTTCTCCTCCTGAATTAGGGAGAGTGTTTCTGGTTACCATTTGCTACAATGTACTGATTTGCAAACTGCTTGTATCTTATTGGGAAAAGAACAGATTCTAATTTGACTTTGCGGGACCAAATTATGACTTCTTACATCATTATTGTTTACTGCTTGGTAACTTGCATACTATAGTCATGAAATAAGTGTTCATTTATTAGAGTGTTATGGGTCATTTTCTTTTCCACAGTTTATATTGTTGCTGATTTTAAAACCCCTGCTTCTACAGAAGCAGTTACATTTGACATAGCAGAATATAGACTAAAAGGCTGTGGATTTTGTAGGAGAACTAAAGTGAATTTTGGGCGTGTGAAATAGTGTAGTTACTAGGGATTTCTTGAAATAAAAAGCAATGATGACAATAAACTCTGAGTAATAGATCAACTTTGAGCAATATACAGTATCAAAATAGATGCCAAATCCACCTACTGGCTTTTGTTACAGTGAGAAGTAACCGCATGCTAAGAAGTGCTGTGTGAAATGTGGCTTAATGCCTACCAAAGAATCTGGCACCTGACACAGGATATAGTATCTTGAAAGTCTCACTTCCTAAAGCCAACATTTCTAGCTCTCTGGTTGTGAATGATAACAGAAGAAAGCTTAGAAATCAGAGCAGGGATGAATAAGCGTCTTTAATAAAGGACCTTTTGCATTGTTCCCTGTTGCTGTCCCTCAGCTACCTGCCTGGGCCCCACTCTTCTTAACCAAGAAACCCTTCCAGCTTATCTGAAAATTTGTCTCTGAACACTGCTTGCCTTTGCCATCTCCTAGGTGTGTAGTGCCATTCTTTGGGAGTCTGTGTCCCTGATGCCTCTTCTGGACACCCCCCCCCCCAATTCACAGAATCAAAGGTGTCCTCTCCTGTTTACTTCTCGGCCCAAGATTCTGCCAGCTGCCAAAACACCATGAACTAAGTTGTTGGAAAGCGTAAAGCACCAGCCAGCATCATCTACTTACTGTTGCTCAGGGGGAAGGCGTAAGAGCTACAGCTGCTTGTGCTCATCTGCCACTGGGGGAAAAATACCTTCCCAGTCTCATCATCCAGTGGCCAATTGGGATCCAGAGCATTTCATGCTTGCTGTTTACACTCAAGGCCCCAGGGTGGTCTGGTAGGAAGAGGAGTCTTACCAAACTATTTGCCCAAAGTAACATGCTTCTTTTACGGGCTAGTGGCACCAGTCAGAGAGCAGCTGTTTTGCTTATTATCAGTTCCTAATGATAATTTAAAAGCTGAGCTTTTAAAATTTTACAGGTTGGTTTCATCCATGGTGAAATAATCTAATTGCTTCTGGGTTTTGTTGCCTATGCAATGTGGCACTTAGTGTTTCAGTTCCTTCCAGATCTGTGAATGTTCTGTTACCTTTCAGGTTTGAAGCAGCCAAGCTTGTCATGCAGTGGCTGTGTAACCATGAGGATCAGAATATGCAGAGGATGGCAGTGGCTATCATCTCCATTCTTGCCGCAAAGGTGTGAGATTTTAGATTTCTCCAGTGTGTTGTTTCTAACCTCTGTCAGTACCAAGGCCCACCCAACAGTAATCCAGTTTTTTTGTCTTTTCTGCTTATAGCTTTCCACAGAGCAAACAGCTCAACTTGGTGCAGAGCTCTTCATTGTTAGGGTAAGCAGAGTGCTTTCACCTTCTTGATAATGGTTGAAATATTGCCTGCTGTAACATTTACTCTTTTTTAGTCTGTTTGAGTTGACAGCAGTTTTGTTTAAAATGTACACTGAAAAGATGAGATGTTTAGGTGTTTATGCCATTGAGTTTTTGCAAGTACCTCAACGAATCTAATATGAGCATACACATCTAGGCAATGCAGAGGCAGGAATGTGTGATATTTTGATTCATCATCCTTTTGTCATCTCTCCTTTGCCTATGATTATAAGCTCTTATGGGTGTGTTGCCATTTGTGGTGTTGAAAGGTTAATCTCCTTTACTAATCACAATACTTGAAAAAGAAGAAAGTGCTTTTAAATGTTTACAGTGTGGTGCTAACAGCGTGACAGACATTAGAAGCATTAGTAATGCAGTGCACACAAGTTGATTGGTGTGGCAAAACATGCAGCCCATAAATGAGTGACCTCACTCTGTACCTCACTTGAAACATGGCCTGACTTTGCCAGACCTGGGACCTATATAGATACCGTGGAGCTGGCATTCATACATACCATATTCTAATTTGGTGGAAGACTTGGCCTCCTGTGTATATCACAAAAAGGCAATGTCTAGGAGACTGACTTTAGCTGAAACCCTTTCTGGGTCACCTGCTCCCACATCTTCCATATGATGCCATAACAAACTCTAGGACTCATCATTCCATAGGTGGTAGCCATGTTAGTCTGTGGCAGCAAAATAAAGCAGAAATCCAGTGGCACCTTAAAGACTAACAAGTTTATTCCAGTATAAGCTTTCCTGAGTTAAGCCTCACTTCATAAGATGCATAAGGGTGAAAGGGATTTTCCGCATACTTACCTGGCAGGGGAGACACCATGTGTGTATGTGTTTTAAAAAAGCTTTCAAAGCATATTAAGCATGGTAGTGAAAGTAAAAAGTGAAATTTGAAACAATTCTTGTATACTAGTGCTCATTATTTAAGGCAATTACTTATTTTTAAAATGGTCTTAAACTGCCTTGAGTTGATTGGTTAAAGGGGAGGGTATGAATATTTTTCTAGTTTTTTGAAGTAACATCTGAAAAGACAGATACCATAGCAAACAAAAGTGTTTGTTACCAGTGATGCAAACTGTTTTTCTGATGGTTCTGTTTTATTGGCCAGTATCTAACATAACACACTACTTGTGACAGTGCAGGGCTATCGTGAAGACATGATTAAAAGATAGCTAGAACAGCATGCTTGCTAAGTTAGAAAGCAAGAATTAGGGTTACTTGTTCGTAGAAAATGGTTACAGTAAAAGCATACATTAAAATGTATTTATACCCAGCCTTTCTCTCAAGTGGGAACCCAAAGCACTTTCCTTGTTCTCCTGTCCTCCATTTTATCCTCACAACAACCCTGTGAAGTAGGTTAGGCTGAGAATGTATGACTGGCCCAAGGAGCAAGCTTCCATGACTGAGTGGCGATTTGGACTGGAAGCATAGATCTTAGTCTGACACTCTAACCACTACATGACAGTGGTACGATTAGGTCCTATGCACAACCAGTATAAGATGCCTTACAGAACTAGCTACAGAAATGAAGAGCATGAGATGCCCTTCTTATGCACCTATGTTCTCCTGGGCTCCGGTGGAGGGAGGCTTGCTATTGGCTAGATTCTATGCAGAACTAGGATCTGTGATGGCATTAGACCATTGGCGGACTTAAATTTTTGGTGAATGGAGAATAGTGTATACAGGGCAGGAAGTGTAAATGCAAATACGGTCATGAGGAAGAGGAGGAGGATGGGTACCAGATGAGACAACAGTGGGCAGCAGGATGGTCTGGGTGGGATGATGGAATTACCTGAGTGGCAGACCGATTAAGGTCTGAACAAAATTTGACCCCATATCTCTCTTATATATAATTGCCGAATAGTGGTGGCTTCTGGCCTATGGGGTGGCGAGATTGCATGCGCTCCCCCAGCCATTGGCCCGTCGGCTGCCAGTCAAGACTACTGGCATGCCATTGGCCGGGTGTGCTGCTCTTCCCCGCCCACTCCCCCTTCCACTCTGCCCTGTCAGAATTCCTGGCAAATGGCTTTGTCTCTTTGACGAAGATGCTTCTCCTTCTTGCCTCCTGTGTGAGACTTAACTTTTCCCTCAGTGGCTGTGGGTAGGTGTAACGAAATGGCAATTACCTGTGTTTGTAAGATGGCTGCTGGGCTGCTGTCTGTGGTTGTTTGTTAAAATGTTCCACCATAAGGTTTAATTGAGCTGTAGTTCCACAGAGGTATCACTCACTGGGTTGAATGGGGCTTCCCCATCTGCTGGACTACAGTTCCCAGCTGCCCCAAGGCAGAAAAGGGTGGAAAAACAGGGACTGTCCCAACGCGTGGGGCGGCATCAATCCAGACTGCAGCCCATCCAGGGAGGAGGCCGTCTTCGTCCTACAGGAGGTTAGGAAAGGCTCCTGCTGCCTGTGCTGACCAGGCTGTCCAGGCCACAAGCTGAGACGTGGGGAACCCTGCTCTCTTGGGCCAGAGAGAGAGAGGCTAGAGCAGAGAGCCAGAGGCCAGTGTGTAGGGGAAAAGGATGGCGTTAACCCCTGTGGATTTATGCTGTGTTGGTTCATACAGTTGGTTCATACACTCCTACAGTGAGTGTACGCGCCCCATAACTGTGTAAATAGTTAGATAAATTCTTTTATTTGGGCTAATAATCTGTGTTGTGCTCTGACCACATAGTCTCCCCCACTCTGCACAATAACAAAGGGAGGGGGTAGCCCAAGGAGGCAAGGAAAGGCCAGACCCTTGGGTTGCCAACTTTCCAGGGATCCCCAAAAAATTGGGAATTCCATCTCCAAATACGGAGATTTGGCCAGAGGCGTCTCAATGTCCCTCTAAAAAGGCAGTAATGATTCAGTGAGTCGTGGCAGCGAATTTAAGGAGTGAGATATGCTCACGGGACGAGGGTGGGAGGCAAACAGCTGAGTAGTAAACTGGAGCCCGTTTCGCCACAGTAGGCAACCAAGCTTGGTTCAGACAAAGGAAGGAAACCCTTTGCAGGCCTTTGTGAGGAACTAATTAGGGCCAGTACTGAGAGGGTTGCCAGCTCCAGGTAGGGAGATTCCTGGAGATTTTCTGGAAGAGTCTATGGAAGCCAGGGTTTGGGGAGGGGAGAGGCCTCAGCTGAACAGAATGCCATACAGCCCACCTTCTAGAACAGTTATTTTCTCCGAGGGGGGCATCTGTTGTCTGGAGTTCAGTTGTGATACCTGGTGATCCTCAGGCTCCACCTGGAGGTTGGCTGCCCTAGGCATAGTGGTCAGTGCTTCAGGGTCTGCTAGATCCAGGTTCTTACTGTAGAGACTGAGTGGGTGATTTTGGACTGGTCACAGACTTTCAGCCTAAACTACCTCACAGGGTTGTTGTGCAAGTCAAAAGCGGTAGAGGAGAATGATGTAAGCTGCTTTGGTCCCCATTGCAGAGAAAGACTACTTTTCCTCCTGTGGAACCATTGTTGCCAATCTCCAGGTGAGGGCTGGAGATCACTCAGAATTAAAACTGCTCTCCAGATGGCAGAGATCAGTTCCCCTAGAGAAAATGGTAGACTCTGTGGCAGCCAGGGCTTCAGAGCACTGGAGAGGCTGCAGGTATGTGGGGGGGGGGAATGGAAAGCTGAAGAGAGAGGGGGAAATAAAGGTAGGTTGATGATTGGCTGGGAAGGAGATAGGGTTGCCAACTCCAGATGGGAAATTCCTGGAGATTTGAGGGATGGAACCTGGAGAGGGTGAAGTTTGAGGAGGGTTGGGACCTCAGAAAGGTACAATGCCATAGACTCCACCTTCCCAACAAGCCATTCCCTTCTGGGGAACCACTGTTCCCAGTCTCAGGAGAGGGGTGGAAATCACTCAGAATTACAACTGATCTCCAGGAGGGAGGGGGGAAGAGATGCAAAGCTGAAATCAGAGGGGCAGATAATGGCAGGTTAATGCTTGGCTGAGAAGGAGATAGGGTTGCCAACTCCAGGTTGGGAAATTAATGGAGCTGTGGTGGGTGGAGCCTGGAAAGGGTGAGGTTTAAGGAGGGGTGGGACCTCAGGCAGGTACAATGTCATAAACTTCACCCTCCAAACCAGCCATTTCCTCCTGAGTAACAATTGTTGCCGATCTCCAGGTGAGGGCTGGAGATCACTGAAAATTACAATTGCTCTTCAAGTAGCAGAGAAAATGGTGGACTCTGTGTCATTATACCGTCCTGAGGTCGCCAGGGCACATTGACGTTGAGTGCCCAAGGCCTTGGCGCTCTCCAGGAGCCTCTTTCTAGAGCTCATTGTATTTATTTCCACAACGAGCCTTATTTCTAGTACACCATAAAGACTAACAAAATGTTCAATTATACGCTTTTGTGAGTCAAAGCTCCCTTTGTCAGATACTGGTTAAGGTGTTTGATAAAGGTTAGCAGGATGTGGCTTGATTGTTCTCCCTGGCCTAATGTTTGTTTTATCAAGGAAGAGTTCATTGTGAGAGGGGTCCTGAGAGCTTTTGTTATTGGTCCAGCAAACCTGGGTCATTGATTATGGTGTGTACTGCTCTGGAGAGTTGAACAATGAAAGCTTGATATTTTATTTAAAACATTTCTATGCTGCCTTTCCACATAAATAGAGTCCCAAGGCAGCAAACATTAAAACAATCTTTACAATCAAGTATATATAAAATAATTTGATAAAAACATATAAACACACACAAACCTTGATTAAGGTTTCCTGGGATATTGAAGCAGTCAGGCTACTTCCTTTCAAGAGTTCCTAGGCAAATCCCTGTCTTTAATACCAAACTGGGTGGATTTTTTCTGCACCTCCAGTATTTGAAGGCCACAGGATCTTGGGGGTACAAATGACATGGGTCTTGTGGGGACCCTTAGGGGCAACAAGGTCAGGAGACCTACATGGACAGAAAGCCATGCAATATAAGCAGTTGCATTGAGAATTGGGGGGAGGGGATGAAATTGCCCTCCTTTGCCTCTTCCATCAGCAGAATATCTAGTGCCATATGAAGTGTTTCTGGAGGATTAGATGGGAGGGGTGATTTCACTCATTTTACTCTCCTCAGTGCAGCGGCTCATCTTGCATGATTCTATTCATTTATTTTAATTATTTATTTTGTTTGACTTATATCCCACCCTCCCCATATTTGTAGGCTCAGGGTGGGTACCAACATATATCTGCAATTGAGGCTTGTCCCCAACTCTTGGCATGACTTTTTGAGTCTCGCTGGCAGCTGCTAGGGATTGGAAGAAAAGATATGTCTCACCAAGACCTTCCATTAGTGTGGCATAGGATCAAGCCCACAGTGTCTTAGGAAGGTATGTGGCAAACAGCAGTCAAGCAGCTATTACAGGCTACTTTTCTATTCCAGGCAATGTCTTTGACTAGAATTATGTCATAAGAACATAAGAGACGCCAATGTTGGATCAGGCCAAAGGCCCATCTAGTCCAACACTCTGTCACACAGTGGCCAAAAATACCAGATGTCATCAGGAGGTCCACCAGTGGGGCCAGGACATTAGAAGCCCTCCCACTGTCCCCGCCCCCAAGCACCAAGAATACAGTGCATCATTTGCCCCAGAGTCCCTATCTATACCTTGTGGCTAATAGCCACTGATGGACCTCTGTTCCATATGCCTATCTAATTCCCTTTTGAAGCCGTCCATGTTTGTAGCCGCCACCACTTCCTGTGGCAGTGAATTCCATGTGTGAATCACTCTTTGGGTGAAGAAGTACTACCTTTTATCCATTCTAACCCGACCGCTCAGCAATTTCATGGAGTGCCCACGAGTTCTTGTATTGTGAGAAAGGGAGAAAAGTACCTCTTTCTTTTCCTGCTCTTTCCCATGCATAATCTTGTAAACCTCAATCATGTCACCCCTCAGTCGTCTTTTCTCCAAGCTAAAGAGCCCTAAGCGCTTTAACCTTTCCTCATAGGGAAAGTCATTCTGTCTAAGCACATTAAAGAGAGATTTTTATTCAGGAGCTGCAAGGCACATCGTCCTGCCCAAGATTGCTGCTTGAGATGGCCGGGTGAGCTGCTCATTAGCAACTGCATGGTGTAGTGTTTGAGTGTGAGGACTAGGACTGGGAAGACCCAAGTTCAAATCCCACTGAGCCAGAAAGCTTAGTGAGTGACCTTGGGCAAAGTCACTCTCAGTCTAACCCTCCTGACCAAGGGAAGAGAAGAACAGTGCATGACTTTCTTGTTGAAAATGTGAGATAAAAAGTTTTATAGATCATTAGCAAGAAGATCTGCTTACAGGTAAGTGGCAAACTCATGAGTAAGAGCCCCAGTCTGCCATCTGAAATGCAGGCTAGGGCACCTATCTATGAGGGGGGACAACTCCATCCTGCTCCTTGGGAGGAGGCTACTTTCTCATAAACAGATTTACTGCAGAGCTCTAGCCATCATCAAATCCATTATCAGGATAGAATCCCAGCCTTCTTCTTGCTTATGTGTACTCCAATGCTGCTTTTGGTGAGTGAATATATGGACTACACACATGCAGAATAACAGATGAATGACAGCTGCTGGCACAGTTGTTTTTCACAGTTTAAGGTGGCAGTGGTGATGATCATTTACATAGTGTGCATATTCATCCCACACATTTTCCCGGCTTATAGTAGTGTAGAAACTGGCAAAGCCTGTTTGACCACAGGTGACAATGAGACGAAAGTAGTAAATTGGCCATACCAAGAAAAGGTAGGGGAAAACAGACAAGTTTGCCTCTCATTGGAAAAGTAAGTCACAGCCCTAATTTCTAGTTAGAGTTAGTACTGTGGTGTTCTTCAGCCCCAGCAAGCTACACCTAATGGTGGCAGTCCTGTTTGTTTAGACCCAGATCTGCCCAAATGGTATATAAAGGCAGGAAAGTGGGGTCCAATGTTTAGGTTCAAAGGGACCAATGAGTGATGAGATCTGTCCTTTCCTCTTGTTGCTTTTCTTCATCTGTGCTCCAGTACAAGCCCACCTGGGAGAGAAGTGTCATCAGAACAGAGGCTATGTGGTAACAGACTGTAGGGAGGGGGGAGGAAGTCTTATGCAGCCACCTGTATGCCTCTTTTGGTCAAAAAATCTTGAGCCCTAACTCCCTCTCACACACACTGTTACACGAATTGCCTGGGGCAGTACACATGTACAAGAGTTCTTTATTCTCTATGTATATGGGGGTCAAATTGCGAGAGATACCAATGGAAGGAAGAGACCCTTTGATTGAATAAATGGAGTTTTTATTGTGAATAAAGGCAAAGCTCACACTACTCACTCATGCAAAAATCATAATAACAGATCAACAGATACAGAGCTAGGAAACAGGGAGGTGGTCGATAGTGACAAGAAGGGGGTTGATTTTAGATAGAGCAATATTCACCTGATCCTGGGGTCCAGAATCCATGTGGAAGAAAGAGGACATGGCCGACCAGTGGTTCATGTCAAAGGCTCAGACAGAGTCTGAGGGTACACTCTTATGGCCGTCCAAGAGCTGTACAAAAATTAAGGCACAGTTTAAATGTGGTTTGGAGGGCCAGGGGTGGGCTGGGCCGGAGTGTAATGAGTAGCCAGATTAAAATTGAGTAGTGCAGGACGCTTGGTTTCACCAGTGTTTTTCTTCCTACATGTCATTGGCTCAACGTTAGTTGGGGAAAGGGTGCTAGACTCTGGATATTACTTAGAGGAGGCAGCGCAGTTTACTAAGGTGATGCCAGGGTCGGGGAAGATGGGATTCGTATGGCTAGGCTGGCTATCTCTGTTGATTGTATCAGTCATGAGATCCTGTATACGTGCTTGCTCACAGTACTCCTATTTAGATTGGTTCCTCCTGAGCCTGTCAGGCTGGTTCAAAATGGAGTATTTTCTGGCTCCATGTTGCCTGCCCGTGACAGACGAATGTGATGTGTGGGAGCCTGGTCTTACTGCCTTTGTGGCCGCCGGGTCCCTCCAAGTTTTTTGGGGAGAGTGAGTTTAACACAGGTATATCGGGGGAGGTAACAATACACTTTATATGTGATTGGGGTAGCCCTGAGTTGAACCAAAAGTATCTGCCTCCATCATGTGTGGTTTGAGCCTCAAATAGCTGAGACTTGAAACAGCTGTTTAGTTCACCAAGGTAAAAGGCATCTTTGATTTCTCCGTTTTCAGCAACTACTTCAAATTGTGAAGCAAAAAACAAATCAGAATGTAGTGGATACTACTCTCAAGTTTACACTGAGCGCACTTTGGAATCTCACTGATGAGTCTCCAACCACATGTCGGCACTTTATTGAAAACCAAGGGCTGGAACTCTTCATGAAAGTCTTGGAGGTAAGAACAGAAGATTATCTGCCAGCATTTGTTCAGCTATCACGCTGTCTACCAGTTCCAGTGTCCACAAGTAGACTCTGAATGTTAGAGATCTGGTGCAAGGAGGCATGCATGGTCAGTGTAAAAGAAGGGGCTGTACTCACAGTAGATACACTTTGCTTTACAGAAAAATAGCAGTTGTGGTGGGGAGAAATTGAGCTCAATGGGAAGTAAGTGGTAGATTTCCCCTGAACCTAATCCCCCCTCCACATACACCCATACCCTCAAAAAACATTTTTTGCTGGGGTGGGGACTCAGGGACCTCAACCACTCTGCCATACAAACAATCACAAGAAGGGCAGAAGAGTTTGGGCTTACTTTACCTTCACTGATGCTACCTCTACTGCTACTTGAGAAGAAAGATCTTCTAGAAGAATCATTTTTCCATTGCAGTGGCCTGGTGTCATTGGGTTGGTGCTAGTAAATGGTATTGAGGGAAAGCACTTACTCCCAAGCAGCATCCTCAACAATGGACAAGGTGACTGTCCCCACCAATAGTAATCCTTGAGTAATCCCTTTCCCCTGCAAAAATCCCCATTCCCTTTCTTTCATTCCCAGTCTTTACCCACATAACTAAAATGATTATGTGGGGCAGAGGAATGGGCCTAGATGAAGTTTGCTCTTTGCTTTGCTTCTCAATCCTTCCTTAGCTGTTTCACCACCAAAACTAAAATCTAAAATAGCAAACTACCCATTTTCTGCAGAGAGTTTTCACAGGCCCCCTCTTGGGATACAAACATATTTATTAAATGTCTTATTATCACATATTTTTGTTCTACTTACAGTCTTTTCCAACAGAATCGTCTATCCAACAGAAAGTTCTTGGGCTTCTGGTAAGATGAACACAATAACATACTCTTTTCTCTGGGAAGGCCGACATTGCTTCTTTGCCCTGTAGAAGTAAATGGGAGTCTAGTGATTCCTAATAAGATTTTATTTCAGCATTACCTTTCATTGGGTTAGAGCCCTCTCATCTTTAATATTGCATGAGAGAAATTACTTAAGAAGACACAGAGTGTATTTTGGATGCTCTCTGGTGAACACTGGCTGCTCATTTCAGTTTACTTATGTGGCAATGGTATTGAGAGGCAAGAAGAGTCCTGCTGGAGAGGACAAAGAGTCCATCTAGTCTAGCACTCTCTTCCTAACAGTGGCTCTGGAAAGCCCCCAGGCTGGACATTATTGTGCTGGGCATTGTGTTAAGAACATAAGAAGAGCCTGCTGGATCATCTAATCCAGGATACGTTTTCACACAGTGCCCAACCAGTTGCCCTGGAGGGCCAAACAAACAGGGCATTAGAGGCCAAGGTCCTCCACGGCTGCTGCCTCCCAGCATAGAGGTTTGTTGTCTCTGAAGATGGAGGCTCTCTTCAGTCACTATGGCTGGTACTCTCCTCTGTGAATCTGTCTAACCGCCTTTTAAAGCTACCTATTTTTGGTCTCCTTTTCTAATACTCCTCAGTATTTGCTGTTTTTTTAAAATCACAGCAAAGACCAGTCTGGGGGCTCACACGCTTAACTCTGCATAATGTTTGAATACATGCATATAAGAGCAAACTAATTCTTGTTTCATCTAGAAAGCTTATTTTGAAATGAAACCGGTTTGGCACTCAGCAGTGCTCCAACCCTAATATGTAGAGCAAGCATATTAGTCGGAGAGGCTGTTCTTTTTTTTTATGCACAGCTGTTTGTTCATATTGAAGCCCATCTACTTTGTTTTCTTGTAGAACAACATAGCAGAGGTGAAAGAGCTCCATTCGGAGCTAATGTGGAAGGACTTCATAGACCACATTAGCAAGCTCTTGCACAGTGTTGAGGTGGAGGTCAGTTACTTCGCAGCTGGGATTATTGCTCACTTGATATCACGAGGAGAACAAGCCTGGACACTGAGTCGCAACCAGAGAACCTCTCTCCTAGAACAACTGGTACAGATGTGACTGGAAATGTTGTCTGGTGTTGCTCCAGAACAGTGTTGTTAATGTGGATAGTAATGGCTCTCATTTTCTCGTTTTACAGCATTCTGCTATTTTGAAATGGCCTACACCAGAATGTGAAATGGTGGCATACAGGTAACCACAGCCTCAATGTAATGCTTGAGAAAACACTGGCTTCTGTTTCTGTTTAATTTGCTATGAATGATATTGCTTCTGGCTGCAGTGCACTAAAAAGAGCAACCACAGTGTGAACTAACCAAAGCAATGAATGCAAAAGGACATATTGTGAGAATATGACAAGTCACTTACATTAAAGCTTTCTTTGTTCAACAATCTTTCTTTGTCACATTCAAAAAACCCTTACATACAGAAATTCAAATTACAGAAATTCTTGCATACAGATACAAAGAATCTGGATGTACTCCTCTTTTTGTATAGCACTTCAGTATGTAGAGCAATTCAAGTACCGTCACAGAATTCTCAGCAACTTGTAAAGCCAGGAATCTTTGGGGTTCCTGTAGGCTTATATAATCAGCATAAAAGTTTTTAATAACAGCTGGCAAGTTAGTCATAAAATGGAGAAAGGAGCTGCTTTGGGTCCCTATTGGGAAGAAAGACAGGGTATAAATGAAGTAACTGACACTGGCCTTGATGGACCAATGATCTGAGTCAGTGTAAGGCAGCTTCATTTGTTCATATGTCATGAACCCCAACTGGATATTGCCTATGATTTAACTAGTGATGAGTTGTAGGTATCTTCTCCCTCTGAGACGGAGGACATCTATATGGGTTATTCCCACCGTGCCACTAGGGAGGCAGGAAGAAGTTTTTTCCCCTTCCTGTTGGCGCCTTCGGAATAGCCCCTCCTCCTTAGTTCTGTTCCTGCCTCACTAGGGAGTAGCAGCCATTACCTAGCTGACTCTAGCCTTTTTCGAATTTCTTCCATTTTCCTATCTTTTTCCCTTATCTTTCTAGCCTGATCTTACCCTCAATAGCTTACTTGTCCTTTCTATTTCATTCCTGCTCTCCCCCTCGTTTCTCTCTGTCCCAATCGGGACGAAGACTTTCTCCTCAGATCGTCGGCCGGGAGCAAATTCGGCCCAACGATGTCGACAGGAGGACTTCCCGAGGGCTTCTCCTCGGGCGACGAGGGAGACGCGCAAGCCGCGGCTTCGGCTGCGCGAAGCACCAGCGGGCCCGATCAGCCCTCGCGGCTTGATCGTGCGCCTACAACACCCGAGGGCTTCTCCTCGGGCGACGAGGGAGACGCGCAAGCCGCGGCTTCGGCTGCGCGAAGCACCAGCGGGCCCGATCAGCCCTCGCGGCTTGATCGTGCG